CCTCCTCCTCCTCCTCCTCCTCCTCTTCCTCCTTGTTCTCTTCCCCATCCTCTCCCCTCTTCCGCCCCCCCCTCTTCCTTCTCCTTCTCCGACGTCTCGGCCCTCTCTCCCTGCCTCCATCCATCATTAGTTTCCTTCCTTGCTTCCGTCCTCCCAACCTTCCGTCTTCCCCTCCTCCTATCTTCATTCCTCTTCTCTTGCTCGCCTCCTCCCCTCCGTCCCGTTTTTCCTTCCTTCCGTCCTTCCTTCGTTCCCCTCCCCCATCCTCCTTCTCCGAAAGAGCGCGTTCTGTGGTCGCTTGGACGTGGGGGTGGGGGAACTAGACCCCCCCCCCCTCCTCCCCTACTTCTCGTCTCTCCCTCACCTCGGGCCGGCGCCTGCGTCGGCGGCGGCTGGCGGCGGCGGCGGGGACGACGACTTCCTATTCTGGGCCGGCGCCGGCGCCTGCGGCGGCGGGCGTCGGCGGCGAGAATCGTCGACGAGGACGACGGTGGTGGTGGTGGTGGTGGGTTGTGGTGGTGGCGGTGGTTTGTGGAGGTGGTGCTGGTGGTGGTGGTGGCGGTGGTCGTTGTGGTGGTGGTGTGGTGGTGGTTTGTTGTGGTGGTGGTGGTTGTGGGTGGTGGTGGTGGTGGTGGTGGTGGTGGTGGTGGTGGTGGTGGTGGTAGTGGTGGTGGTGGTGGTGGTGGTGGTGGTAGTGGTGGTGGCTTGGTTGGTGGTGGTTGTGGTTTGGTTGGTTGTGGTGGTTGTGTGTTGTGGTGGGTGGTGGTTGGTGGTGGTGTGGTCGTGGTTCGTGGTGGTGGTGGTGGTGGATTGTGGTGGTGGCGGTGTTTTGTGGAGGTGGTGGTGGTGGTGGGTTGAGGTGGTGGTGGTGGTGTGGTGGTGGTGGTGGTGGTGGCGGTGGTGGTGGTGTGGTGTGTTTGTGGTGGTGGTGGTGGGTTGTGTTGCTGGTAGTGGTGGTGGTTGTGGCGGGTGTGGTGGTGTGGTAGATTGTGGTGGTGTGGTGGTAGTGTGGTGGTGGTGGTGGTGGGGGTTGTGTGGTGGGTTAGTAGTGGTGGTGGTGGGTTGAGGTGGTGGTGGTGGTAGTGGTGGTGGGGGTGGTGGTACTGGTGGTAATCGTCGCTGCGTCCACGCCGTCGCAGGCGCAGTGGGGGGGGGGTTGGGACCCTTTCCCCCCCCCTCCTTGGGCTGCCTGTGGTCATCGTCGCTGCGTCCCTGCCGTCGGCGCTGCTGGCGGCCGCTGGCGCCGGCGCCATGGGGGGGAGGGGTTGAACCCCCCCCCCTTGGGAGGGGGGGGCGTTGGGGGGGAGGGGAGTCCACCTGGTTCTGATCGACGCGACGGCGCCGGATGTTAGGGGGGGGCCCACCCCCCCAGTTCGAAACGCGCCGCCGAATGTTCCCAAGGCAGACGCCCGTGAGACGCGCTCTCTCCCTTCTCCTGATCCCAGAGGGTCGGAGCAGATGGCTTCGGAGGACCGCGCCGCATCGGCAATGCATCCGCAACGTCGGCGATGCATCGGGGACGTGCGCGTGGAGCAAATCGGGCTCCACATCATGCCGCATCGCCGATCCATCGGCGGTGCGGCGCGATCCTCCGACCCCATCTACTCGGACCCCATCTGGGAGGCCTAGACTGTAGCCGGCGACGAGAAAGCCCCTCTCCCGCGGTGGGCGGAGCCGCCAGGTCCCGATACGGCTACTCCCCGGACCTCTCCCGGGGTACGCTCCTACCAAAATTTCGATTCGAATCCGGCGGTAGCGACGAGGGCCTCCCGGGAAGCCCAGAATGGTGAAACCGAGGGGAAGGTAGCAGTACGGGGACCCTTTCCTCCCCTGAGAGGAGGCCCCCCCTCGCGTGAGAGGCAACGATAAGAGGGGATAGGCATAGGGGGGGAAGCATCGACCTGGAATCAGCGATACATCGCCGATAGACCGGCGATCGGCCTCCGATAGTGAACCCACACCTTCCTGGGCAGCTTGGGGCTATCCGGCCTCCACCTGCGATCCATGGGCAATTGGGGGTCGATGCGCCCCCCCCCCTGTGCCCATGCCCCCCGATCGTTGCCCCTGATCGCGGCGGGCGGAGCCGCCGGGTCCCCCGTCCGCCGGTGCCGCAGTCTGCACACCACCTCGGCGGCGCCAGGCCGCCGCCGCCGCGCCGACGTGCCGACGCGCGGTGGCGAGATCCTCGCGGCCAAGGGCCCTCGGCCCCGGAGGCCCTCGGCGGGCCCCTGGGACGGAGGGGCACGGGCAGGAGGGAGCCCCCCAGAGACTCGGCGCCTCGGGACAAGGCACGGCGGCGAGTGTTCGCCATGGTCTCCGCGGCGAGCGAGGGGGGGACATGAGAAGGGGGAGGCCTTCTCTCGGCGGTGGACAAACCTCCCTTTCGTAGACCACCCTTTAGTGAGAACGGCCTAGGACCGAAACCGACGGATCTGGACCCGCAAAAATGCCGGCCGCGACGCCCTCTCGCGAACCGAAAACGGCCAATTCGCTAATCAACGTGTCAGGGTAGGTCGTCCCCCCTCTGTAATTAAAGCTGTGCACGGCCCGCTTAGCTTCGACCGGAAGAGGTGCGCTCTCGATCCGCGGATCAAAAAAGTCAGGGTAGTTCTATCAACCTCCGATTCTCAGAAAGCGGCGGGACTTCGCAGAAGCCCTCGCGCCTCATGAGACGTTGTCCTTGTGCCTCTGGGGAAGGGAAGGCTCAGAAACATTTGTCAGGGGGCCTGGGGACTTCCGAGCTGTCAGAGAGGGCCCGCCCCCTCTCACTTCCCCCCCTTGCCCGCCGCCGACGTCTCGGTCTCTGCCCTCGCCTGGGCCCGGGAGCCGTCAACAAAAATTACGCGGGATGGACATCCGGTCCTTGGGAGAAGGTCGAGACTTCCAGGGGCCCCGTACGGAGAAAGCGAGACAGCACGAATCAGATCTGCTCATTCGGCTGTTCCGTGAATTGGGGCTCTCGAAGGCTTGCTCGGAGCCCTCTTCGGCAGTGTTTGGGGGCCTCTCTTGGATGCCTCTTGGCACTGCCTCGGAACGCTCGTTGGGGCCTCGGATCTCTGGGCGGGCGTCTCGGTCGTTCCGCGCTGGGCACCCCCGTAGAGCTGCGGGCCCCGGGGCCCCCCCAAAAAGTCGATACATCGCCCCCGGACAATATTGTATGTTTTTTAAAGATTCTCCCTGTAGGGGGACATGCCCGACTTCAGGCTACTTGTTCGGGACGTCGGATCTCAGGGGAGGGATGCCGGCCCCCACCTCACGAGCGGCGACTATATCTGCATCCACGCCCTCGCGGTCTGGATTGCGAGGCGAGATCCCGCGGATACGCTGTCGCACGGACAAATTCCGCGCGGGGCATGCGGAAAAACGCCAAGCATCCGTGGGATCGCCTCCCAGGGGCCCAGGGGCCCAACCCACGAGGCCGCGGGTGCGGAGATGTTTTTTCGACCACGACCACCAAGAGGCTGTCATGCGCTGTTGGCCTCCGAAAGCTCTCACTGGGCCTCAGGACCTTCAAAAGAAAACCGGGATGAAAAACCAGTCCCGGGGATGAGCAGGAGAGCCCAACATCGAATCAATAAGACGGATTGGTGATCGAAATGAACCCGATCGGCGGAAATCGGCAGCTTGGAGAAATCGAATCGGTGGACATCGGGAGGGGGTCATGAGGCCTCCATGAAGAAACCGGAACCATCAAAATCGACCCGCACTGAATCGGAGGACTCGAACTGAGGCCAGAAGAGGTCCAGAGTCCATACCTCTGGGGGTCGCGCTGTGGAAAGTCACCACGTCGAAGCTCTATGGGGATGGCAGGGGGTACGATGACGACGGCGACGACGACAGCGACGACGACGAGGACCACGACGGCGTCGACGCCGACGCGACGACCACGACCACGACCACGACGACGACAATGACGAGTCCAGACAGTCGGGGCGCTGAAGAAAGAACTCTTTTCGTTGGGGAGGGGCTCCGTGTTCCTTGATTGTTTCACAGCTTGCCTCAGGTTTTCCTGAGGTTTTCGAAGGGAAATCGAACTTTAAAAAGGGGCCTCGTTCCTTATTTAAGGTTCCTTAGGTCAACGCCTCGACTGGACCTCTGGGGGTCGCGCTGCGACAAGTCACGACGAGGGCGGGCGCAAGGGGAGGCAGAGAGGACGCAGAGGACGGCCCCGTGTGGGCCCTGGAGGTTCCAGGGGGCCTGGGGATGGACGTCGGTTTCCTCCTCCTCATGCTCCTCGTCCTCCTGTGTTTGCCTCCTCCTCGGCCTCCTAGTGCCTCTCCTATTATT